ATCCCGTGTGCAGTTGAAGAGAGCACACCTCACATCTGTGGACCCACCTGGTGCACTATTTCCTAACCGACCTCTCTGGTTATTCTAAACACTGTTGATAGCAGAGGACAGAACGCATCAGCTAATTTTCTGTGAACCTGTCTATTTCTCCCATTTATTCTGTCAGTTTTGCTTCATACTCTCTGGTGATCAGTTATTGGATATGGAAATGTCTATAATTGTCATATCTTCTCACTGTAATAGGATCTTTTATTAATACATTTTCATCTTTGTTTCTTGAGACTGATTTTAGAACAGACATTATTTCTCTTTTTTTGGTTACTATAGTATTTGTATGGAATATATTTTTCCATCCTTTCATTTTCAGTCTTTTAGAGTCACTGTTTCTTAAGTGAATCTTTTATTTGTATTTTGCATTTCAACTGTCCCTAAAATAAATACAATCTTTTACTTGTACTTTAAGTGAGTAGTTGGACCAAGTTTTGAAAGGCTATTCTGCCAGTATCTGTCCTTTGACTAAAGTCCTTTGACTTACTCTGCTCATGTTTAAAGTGATTATTGATACACTGCTATCATTTTGACATTTGTTTTGTTGTTGTTGTTGTTTTTTCAGTATCAGAGATCGAACTCAGGACCTTGTGCTTATGAGGCAGGTGCAGCGCCACGGAGCTAAATCCCCAGCCCTGACATTTGTTTTCTATAGGCCTTTTAACTCCCCATTGCCTATATTACTACTTTCTTTCATGGTTACTTGATTTTATGGTAAAACATTAAACTTTCTTTCTAATTAATTTCCAAATAATTTTATATTTATTCTAGAACTACATTATGTTAGCCATAAGAATTAAAATTAACACCCTAAAGTTATGGCATCAGTTTGAATTTATGTTAGTTTATTTTCAATGACATGGAAAAATTATTCTTTTTTGTAGCTCCTCCCCATCCTTCAGTTGTTGATGTCACAAAGTGCATTTTTATACACTGCTTGCCCCAAAATATAAGCCAATAATTCTTTTAAATGCACTGTTCTCTTAAATTTTGTTAAGAAAAACAAAGGAGGAGAAACCCACAAATGAATGTTAAAATATTAAAATACTCCTAGCTTTATAATCGCCCACGGTTTCACTTTTATTCGACTCTTTCTTCACTCACCTTACAGTCCTGCATCATGTGCGTTGCTCTCAGCCCACAGGGCTCCTTCCAGCACAGCAAGACCATGAATGTTCTCACTTCCCATTATCTGGGAATGACTTAAATCATCTTTCACTTTTGAAGGACATTTTTGCTAGGTATAGGAGAGTTTTGTTTTATTTGTGTCTTTTAACACTTTCTATTTTGGCCCACTACCATCTGGCTTCCATAGTTTCTGATGAGAAACTACCTGCTAACAAACTTACTGAGGATCCCGTGTGTGTGTGTGTGTTATTTCTCTTTCAAGAAACTCTGTTTTTTTGAAAATTAAATAATAATGTGTCTGGATGTTGGTTACTTCGAGTTCATCGTACATGGGGTTCATTGAGTTTTGTGAATGTTTATACCTATGTCTTTCATCAAATCTGAAAAGTTTTCAGCCATTATTTCTCCAAATATTCTCTCTGTCCTCTTTTGTCTGTCTTCTTCTGGAATTTCCATAAACTGTAAGCCCAAGAGACTAACAATGTTCCACGGGTCCCTTAGGCTCTATTTACTTTTGTTCAGTATTTTTTCGTTCTGTGGCTCAGGCCGAATGGTTTCCATCCTATCTTCGTGTTTATTTTCTGCCCGTAAAAACCTGTTTTTTAATTCCTCTAGTGAAATTTGTTCTTGTTTTGTTTTTTGAGAGTCTTGCCACGTAGTTCAGGCTGGTCTTAAACTCACTGTATATCCCAGGGTGGCCTCAAACTCATGGCGATCCTCCTGCCTCAATGCTGGGTGCCTGAACCACCACACCCAGTGAAATGTTCATTTCGATTACTGCACTTCTTGGTTCCAGCTCCTTCCTTTCTTCCTTCTTTCCTTCCTTTCTCCCTTCCTCCTTTTCTTTTTCCTTCCTTTTTCTTTTTAGGCTTTTTATCCCTTTATTGATATTTCTGTTTTGTTTTCTTCACCTATTGACATTTCTATATATGGTTTTCTTGACCTTCATATCTATTTCTCTAAACATTTTTAAGAGTTACTTTCATGTCTTTGCCTAGTAGACCTACCTCAGGTATTTTTAAGAGAAAGCTTGTATTGTTTCATTCTATTTTTTCTTCTTAAAACATAGGCTTTCTTCTTTCTTTGTCTGCCCAGTGACTTTTTGCTGAAGACTGAACATTCAAATATTATAATGTTAACTATGAAAATCTTACTCTTCTTCCTCAAAGTTTGATGTTTGTCTAATGGTTTTTATTTACTTTTAATGTTGTAGACTATTTCTGTGCCCACAGTCAGGTGGAGATGTGAACTGCCTGAGTCCATTTTTAAGCCTCTAACTGGGTGTGCACTTTCTTTATCCACATGTATTAGATTGCTATTCAATTGCTTATTCTCTAATGTCTGGTTCTCTAGAGGAGAATATTGGGAAAAAGACTGAGAGGGGCCGCAGCCAGCACCTCAGTGCTATGCTCGGGAGCCACTTCTAACAGCAGAACAGCTAACAGAGCACAAGCAGGCCAAGAACGAGGTACCTGGGGAGCAGCTGGCCGTGAGTGTGTCTAGTGACAATGCTGTGCTACTCTGTGACTGTCCACACATGACTACAGGTCCTATGAATGTCAACTATGAAGTTATAATGTTTAAAGAGCAGATGAAGTCATAAATACAGAACCCACAAATATTGATAACCAATTACAATCAATTTTCTTACAGCAATAAAGAAAGAATAATGCTAGTACAAACTATATGGCTTGCAATAGTAATGCAGAGCATAAATAGTGATATTCAAATAGTGAATAATATATATTTCCATTTATATAATTTTCAAAATCTGGCATTAGTTGTATTGGTAACAAAAATCTACATAACTCTTTTCTTCAGTGGATGATATTTAGCAGTAATAAAATATGGTTTCCATAGTTCTTCTTTGGGGGGGTACCAGGGTTTGAACTCAGGACCTTGTACTTGCGAGGCAGGCACAGTGCCACTGAGCTAAATCTTCAGCCCTACAATATTATGATTTTGATAACAAAGTTATGAGGAGATCTACTGAGGCCCAATTCTATAACCTGCAAAAATGTACATACTAGATTCTAAGCTGAAACATCTGCACAATTATAATTGTATCCAAATAAAATTTATACCTGTTTTAGCATTGTATGAAGTCTTTCATACTGTCACAGAATTTCATGATTGTAATAGGCACTTTGAAAGTGACACAATTTATGTGATCATTACTATAGCATTTGAAGACTGTATGATCAACTTTCAGTTATTTTTAAATTTGACATCATCATCTGAAGGTGAAGTTCTATGAATAATAAGTGATATTAGCTTTTCTCTCCTTTGAATATTTAGTAGAAATATGTATGGAGTGAGTGTAGGTTTCTTGTTAAATCTGAATTTAAAACCAGCTTGATTTTTCCTGAAACATACCTAATTTTAAACTGCTGGCAAAGAATTTTGATCACCCCGAACTAAGTGCCTGTAATTTGTACTGGCCTATATTGCACTGGAAAACAAAATGAAACCAATTCACCGAAGAGTCAGCAGTCTCAAAATCAGATGCAAAAGAGGCGAATCATAGAGCAATATTTATTCTCACAATACATAAGGGACCATTACATTGGATGCTCATGACAGATGTGTAGGCCAGAAAGCCCTGGCATTTTCTAGTGGAACAGCAATTCACGCTTTCACTTAGCAGTGTACTGTCATTCTCATGTTAGAAACCGAACTGTTAGACCAATTGTCCACTGTGAATTTGCAGCCCTGGGGACACCAGAGCTTTTAGTAGAAATATTTTCACTCTTCCGTTTGTGATACTGAACATACATCATACTATCTGTCAGCCGATAGAAGATGAAGAGGTAAAAGTCTGAGTGGATGAAGGGTTGATGGGAAGACAGAGGCATGGATGGATGGAAGGATGGATGTATTCATGTGAAGTTGTTAATGGTTCTTAAAATGAGTCCCTGAACTCTGAGTTTCTTAGCACTTTCTGTTCTAGTCAGAAATCAGTATTAGAACATCAATTTCAAACCCAAATTGACTCAAAACGTTCTCTAAAATTATAAGGGATGGCTTGGATCCCTTGTCTCGAAGAGATTCTGGTAAAAAGCAGGAATAAATAGTATTTTATATGCCAAGAAACGCTTTACATGCATAATTCATTTAATCCTTAACATCACTTCATAAGGCATAGACTGTTATCATTGCAATTTAACAGACTTTTACAGATGTCCCAAAGCTAGTATAAGTTTATTTCCCCTGCACTGAGAAGCAGCAGATGGTAAGAGTCAGGCCCGCCCTGGAGGCAAATCCCCTACTGCACTCCCTGCGTAGCCTGGCAACTCCAACACAAGAGAGCAAGAGGAGAGGCACTGAGAGATTAGGCCGTGGTCGGGGACTCAGTGAGCATTTTCCCTGTCATCACCCTACTTCTACACTACCTGCTTTGCCACTAGTTAGCAAATTCGACCAAGTGGCTATTTTCTAGGAAGCCTACATTTGTCTCAGCTTTTGTTAAGAATAAAAACAAGGGAGACTTCACTCTGGCTCTATAAAGATGCCTAAGAATAGCTTAATTGTCCTCTGAGTAGCCTCTCTTTGCTTGGGACAGAAGCAAAGCTCACCCTGTACATCAAGACGTCAATATTATGAGGTGCTCCTGAGTCTAGCTTTGTACAGCAAAAGACACTTCATCAACTTCCTTGATCCACCAGCCTCAACCAGCAGAATGAGAAGAGAGTTTGCAGAAGATGTGAACAGTTCCATGGATGCAAATAATGAGCAAGGCAAGCAAGCACACGGCAATGAACAAGTTACCCGGGAAGAACCACTGGATTCGTGTGAATGTCTTCTAAAGTAGCAAAAATTCATACCTGAACCACTTTCTGGGCCTGCACATCCACAACCAGGACTCTGTGCAAAGTTGGCTGAGCGACATAAATGAATTTGTCTTTGACGTTCACGGCGGAGGCCCACACGCAGCGCTGCTGCCCCTCTTCGCCCTCGGCCCTGGGGCAGACCTCGCCCTGTGTGCGAAAGAAGAGAGCGCACGGCGGTCAGAGCAGGACAGTCAGGTCGCCACCGTGCAGGCAGGGACAGTGCCCTCCTCCTTTGGTGCCTCATCACCTTCAACCCTAAGTGTTAAACATGTCTACGGAAGGTGATCTGAAAACAGCCCATGCATCTCCACTTCTCCATAGAGAAATCACGGCGAACGAGAGCCCTGTCTGGCGAACTTCGTGTCCTTACTTACCAATTTTCCCCTTTATTTCCCTCCACTTACTTATACCTGGGCAGTTTCAGAAATGCATAGTGAACCCAGCGTCTCCCAGTGCTCCCAGCCTCCCGCTTCTTTCATACAACACAGGCTGCCCTCGACCGTGGCCAGCCTCCCGAGACGGTGCCTGCCCGGCGGCTCGGCAGTGGCCTGGGCAGAGCCCCAGCCCCGGCACCGCAGACTTGGGCCTCTGTCTGAGAAGCCCGGAGAAAGGGGAGCAACGCATTCGTTGGTGGCCACTCCCTCTTCCATTCTGTATCCAGGTTCAATTCTACAGTCTCCTCACCCTCCCGGGGCCTTTGCCCTTTACTCCAGCACTGCCTGCTGCTTGGCGGTTGCGCAGTCCGTTGACATGGCCACGCGGTCTCAAAAGCAGACACGAGCACGGCAATCCCAACGCCTTCTTTTTTCATGTTGTCAATAAAGTATTGTTCAGGGGATTCATAAGTCTTTGTGACTCATGCTGGGAGACATCTTGTAAGTAGAAGCAAATTAAAAATAACATTTAACTCATGATTTATATCTTCATTTTTTTAAAATTCATCAGTGATCCTCACAATTTACTGATAGTTAGAAAATCTACTAGGGAAGTGTTGGTGAGCTGCCCATAAATGTGCAATGATAAATATTTATCTACATAACAGTAATGATACAATAATAAACAATTATTTCAATGTTTCACCTGGTGATTGTTTAGGTCTGAATATTAAGGATTAATGTCTAATTTATTTGATTTGTGCAACCCAGTTATTATCTCATAAGCTAAATTTTTTCTTCTCTAGTTTATAGAGAACACTATTTCTTCTGTAAGAGCCCATTTACACTCTCTCTCTCTCTCTCTCTCTCTATATATATATATTTAATAAACATGAAACAAAGTTAATAACACTTTCAAAGCTGGCCACAGTATCACATGCCCATAGTCCTAGTTACTGGGGAGGCTGAGGTGGGAGAATCTCTTGAGCCAAGGAGTTCAACACAGGCCTGGGTAGCATTGCAAGACCATCTTACAAAGAAACCATCACCCTACTTTCATTGTAAACTGCGCCAAGTATTCATTTTTATTTAAAACTAATGCTGACAGCAGATATACCACACGTGATACCTAATAATTACATGAATACCCAAAATTGTAACCAGCACAGCTATAGGTAGTTTTTCTGTTTGCATAAAATTTGGAAAATAATCTAAATACAAGAGGAATTTGAGAGTTGTGGCCTGTTGTTTATGTTTTCCAAATGTCAGGGCCAATTCAAGAAGAGACTGATGCGCCCACTAAGGTTTCTGGTCCAGTGCAGGCTCTGGGCTCCGTCCTCACCCCCTGTAGCACTGTGCTCCCCTCCCCTCTAGGAGCAGCAGCCCAGCATCTGCACACTGCTGCCCGGGTGTGAAAGGCTTGGGTAGCTGGAGTGAGGGGATGGGCCCATCACGTGGCATGTATCAGAGCCAACCCACAGGGCCAGAAGTGGGGTCTCCTGGGGGACTCGGGCCTTGGGAAGTGACACTCAGCACGGGAAGAAGTCTGTACCTGCACCTGTTCAGGACAGCTCAGCACTGAAGTCCACTTGAGTCTCTCAAAACCGCTTCTTGCTGACAACCTTCTCTTCAGAAGTGTGCTGAATGCGGGTGATGAGAGCCTACTTCAGAAGCACTGGACGAAATATGCACTCGAGAGGCAGGCAGAGGTGGGAAAGTGGGGCCTAAGTTTGAGGACAGGCTTGGAATATAGGGAAAATGCCATCAAATTATTTGCTGTTGTGTAAAATCTAGGAACAAACCCTGCCAAAATAATGAAAAGTGTGAGTGGCCTGAGACATAACCGTCAGCCAAATAACCAGGGGACCGGGAACAATTTCCACCCCTTGGTTTGCTGCGAAACCATTCACCAGTAAAATGCACTGCTTTGCTGGGAATTATTTTCTGTCTGCAGGCTGCTGCCATAGGATAGCCCTGGCCTGACTTTCAACCACTGCCATGGAGCTATAAAAAGTTTCCTGACAGACACACTGGATTTTCCTTCCTTTGTTTCATGTCATTATTTCTGATAATAGCCTATTAAATCTCATTTAATAATAGCATGCATAGTTTTCAGATTACATAGATTAATATTTATTTCTGTGGATGGGAACTGAAGAAAAATGTTTTTGTCTCCTGCATTAGACACTTAATGTATAAAAAGAAGATAAAAAATATCAGAGACAAAAATAAGATTATGATAATACAAACTGAAGAAGAAAACTGTCAGAAATTATATCAAAGAGTGTCATTAAATCACATTCTGTAGGAACAAACTCCACTTAGAGTGAAAGGAATTAATAAGATACTAAGGCTAATGAAGATGAGAGTCAATAGAAAAAGATAACTCTAGCTCATAATTAGAACTTATTCTCACGGGGTTATTCCATGTTAAATCACATTTTGTGCATATATATTACCCTCTCCCAAAATTTTAAAGGATTACAAAACATGTTACTACTGAAAGTAAAAGTTTTAAGTTTACAATTACAATAATGTGAATCGTACCTGGTTTGCTAAGTAGCTCAAAGACAAGAACATATTCACTCCTCTCCTATTAGTACTTTGCCAGTTTTATTTATTACAATGATTACGCATCAAAATGTTTTGCCCTCAAATCTCCAGTTTCCCAGCACTGCTCCCTCGTTCATATCTTAGCACATCCTGCCCGTTTTTGAAGAATGCAGCAGTATTTGCAGGAGCAACTCCATTTTCCTTGCAACCCAACTCAGTAAGCTTTTGGCCTGGCTCCTTCTTTCTAGTCTAGAAGATTCACCCATTATTCTTTACTCTCAGAAAGATTTGCAATACAGCTCATCAAGTCTCAAATCATTCAAACATACACCTTGCCCTCAAACTTGAGGAATAAACTCCAAAACATTAACTGGATTCATCTGCTTTACCTTTAAGTCATTTATCTATTTTTCTTTAGAAATTTGAAAAGCTTTCTAGAACCTCATCTTTATTTCTCAATCTTTCGTTCTAAACCTATCAGACCTTCAAGTGGCTTTCATTGTGTCATCTTTTCCCAAATTGATGTCTTCAAAGTCACCCGTGGGCCCAGAATTTCCAATAACCCAATTTCATCTTTTCTTGGGGATCATGGAGGACTTACTTCATGAAGAACCCTGCTGCGTGAGCTACGTATGTAAGTAAAATATGCATAGAGAGAGAGCGTCATCATTGCATTGCAATTTCAAGTCGCTTATAATTTCCACTGGTTTCGGCGGTCTCAGATATTTGAGTTCTTGTGAAATGTTCTTTAAGGTAGAGGCCAACAAATGAGAGCCCAAAGACCAAAGTTAGTGCAGTGTCTGCTCTGATATAATCTGGGAGCTTAGAGTGTTTTCTCCATCTTTTGGTGACTGGAGAACAACAGAAAGAAGGCTGCCATCTCATGACATGAAAATAGCATACAAAATCAGATTTATGTAGACAAAAGGTTACAGGGACACAGCTGCACATCCATTTAAATGTTGCCACTGGCTATTTTCATCACTGTACTGACCATGGCCATCGAGACTTCAAAGCAGAGGAAACTGATCATGTGGACATTCATTGGCCGAAAAATGTTGCCTATTTCACTCTGCAGCTCTATCTAGATGTGATCTTAGTCCTCTTACTAAATTCTTTCTGACTATAGTGGCTTCTTTATTTTCTGTTGCTTAATTGTAGCTTCAGGAAAGCCAAGGCTCAGACTCTACTTTCCTGCTCTGTTTCCTTCATATTAAACACTTTGGGTGGCTCTTCCATCTAGACTACCCAATTAATGTCATGATTACATGAACCAAAGATGAATTTCTAGCCTTGAAAGGAAATACTAAGCGTGACCCCAAAATCAAACAGATAAATAACTAAAACAGACCCTTGCCCATCTGTAAGTGGGGAGGTGGTGATTTGAGGCAGATGGCCCCTCCACCTCCTCGGAGCTAGCTTTGGGTAAATCCTTTTTCCTTTTTACCAAAATAAATGGTCTCCTTTGATTTGGTCAGCACCAAGCAGTGAACCTGAGTGCATGAACCGAGTGGTTGGTAGCAACTCCTCCTTAAGGACCAGTATGGGTCATACCGGTTTTCCTCAGGTCTAAATTTTCATAGATTATATTGTGAGCCACATGACTGGTCATCTAATATTTCTCTATCATTCCAAAATGAAATGTTAGGCTGTGCTCTTCCTGTTTCTCATTTTCTAAATGCAATAGTGAAAATTAGTAATGCAATATTTTCTCAGTAAACACATGTTTAAATCCCATTTATTACAGCTGAAAAGCAAGAGTCAAGAACTAGTGTACATCCCCAGTCATGCTGCTACACGCCACCCTTTCCTGTTCAGTCCTTGAGACCCTCAGTTCCAGAGCAGCACTAAGCACAGTGTGGCTCGAGGACTGCTGCTGATCGGCCTACCACTAGTTACCATGCTGAAAACAACAAAGTTGAAAATAGCCATTGAAAAACTTTTACAGCCATTTGGTATTGCATGGCATCTATGTATGTGATCAGCGGACTCATCTTGGACAGGATACGTACCAGTTTGAGTACTGTCCAATTCGTCTGGAGGATTTCATGTGGTGAAAACAACCTACCAGTCTGGAAGGAATAGATTGAGCAAAGAGCAAAGTGATTCTTTCTCCCAGAGGGTTTAAGAAGCACTGATTAAGCTTTCTTTTCTAGTTCTGATTTTTCTCTTTCTCTTTCAATTTTTCTTATACATATATACATACATATATATGGATGTGTACACATACACAAACACACATACAGGTATGCATGCACAAAGCAAGAGTAAGAAGAATTATTTAATAATAATGCACTAAATGAGCTAACATCTTCATTATTTACCCATTTTAAAGACACTGGAATTAAAGTATTTTCATCCATTTTTAATTGAGGTCACTGCTTATAAACAAAGCAATACAATTGTTTTTGAAAATGAAGCATATAAGCCAGGTGTGGTAGTGCATGGCTACAACCCCAGCCTCTGGGAGGCTGAAGCAGAAGAATCACAAGTGGAAGCCCAGCCTGGATAATTTACTGAAATTTTAAATTTTATTTTACTCAAAATAAATTTTTTTAAAAGGACTTGGGTTGTATATCAGTGTGAGGGCCTTGGTTTTAATCAGCAGTACTGAAATTGATCAATCATCAATCAATCAAATGGATTATATTCAGTTTATTGCATATAGTTTGCCATTTTCTTTCTTTCTTTCTTTCTTTCTTTCTTTCTTTCTTTCTTTCTTTTTGGTACTGGGGATCGAACTTGGGGCTTTGCACTTGGGAGGCAGGCGGCAGAACCGCTGAGCTAAATCCCCAGCCCGCCATGCGCTTCATAAAATACTGTGCATGGTCATCTTCATGTTGGTCACAGCAATGCAGTGACCCCAGTTTTAGGGGCTGTATTCACCTTGACTTGGGCTACACTAGAACAGTGTCTAGCAGCACGACTCTGATCTGGGGAGTATCAAAGCTAATTAAAGGTTACATTATACAAAATGTATCCTGTTTTGAAAAATAAGACTGTATTTGTCTTTCAATGGTGGTGCCACTGTGTGGCCGTAAGCTGAGGATTCTTTCTCTGATGCCTGGAAGAGACGTGAAGAGCAAGTGAGGCGGCCAGGCCACAGCGGACACCCGAGCAACTGCAAGCCGACAGGAGCAGTACAAGCTCTGCCATTCAGCCTTGTGGCCTCGGGCAAAATGGGTGAAAGTGGCATCACCGTTCACAGAGAGCTAGCGGTCTGATTAAAGAAACTCCTGACCGTGAAGTTCAGATGACCAACACACGTTACCTGCTATTTCCATGGCGAGAGGAGCCTGTGAATGGCATTTCCCAAATCTACATTAATTTACATGCTTTGACACCGACTTTGCTTTCAACATTCCCAAAAGGTTTGGAGAAAAGTTTACAGTGTATTTAAGGATTTCCAAGTGATGCTGAGCACGGTGTGATTTTGCACACACGCAGCGCCCACACCGGCCCTCCTGCGCCTGAGCGTGTGGGAGACCCCATGCTTCTTCATCTGGAAACGACATTAGCACTCCGTAAACTGTTTTCATAAACAGAAAAACATCAAGGTGTGCTCAATTATTTCAATTTTGTTTAAGTGTGGAATGTTATACCAACTAATAAAATTTTGGAATTAGATATGAATAATTTATTTAAAAGTAACATTGAAGTATTCGATTTCACATGCCAGGAGAACACCAAGGGAAACTCTTTAGAAGCAAATGGAGGACTGGGTCAGCGATGCCCTGGCCATCCTGGTTTTGTGAAGGAGCTAGATTTTGGCCAGAGGTCGGGCAGTGGTTTCCAAGAGCCACAGGGCAGGCGCTTAGTTTATCAGGAAGGCAGACACCGGAATATCAGGGACACCAAGCCCAATGTCAAGGCTGAAAGGCTTGAGTTAGGTCAAACAAGCAGTAGATAGTGTCTGGCAAAAGCTAGCTGAACTGAAAGCTAACAGTGAAACATTGAGGACATCTGGCAGTGATGTGGCTCTCGGAAACCTGGAAGGCTCCTGTGGGATCAGCCTGGTATCACATAGTGTGTCCAGCTGGAAAGAAGAGCAAAGTGCATTTAATTCGGTTCCCCGATGTCATGAAGATATTATTGTACAGGACCAATGATACTCTTTCCTAATTTTGTTTCACAGATTGTTCACTAGAAAGGAAAAAATTAAGATTTTAAAAAACCCATCACAATGAAACATGTAATTCATTGGCCTCACATACGCACACACTCACACATCACTGCAATAAGTATGCAACCTTCCCTAAAGTGACCGAAGGCGTTTACCAAGGCGGTGTCACTAGCACACCAGTAAATACAGCCCTGGGGGAGCCCACACTCCCTTCCTGTCAGGTGCATCCTCCAGAGAGATTTTCTCAAATTGTCCATTTCAGCCACTAACAAGTTGATATGATTTTAAAAATTAATAAAACATTTGTTTTAGAAATGAAAGTAAAATACAGCATTATAAAAAACTGCAAAGAGAGAGTGCTCAGTAGTTTGGTAACACTGCTTTTAATTCACCCCCACAAATTAATATTAAGGAATTCAGGTTTGTTTGTTTGAGTTCAGGGCTACTTATGGAAGTCACTTTCTTTGCCTGCCCACTAACCTGTTTCTTAGGGATTATTTGCTTAACAATTGGGCTGGGCTCGCTGGGGCACACCTGTAGTCTCAGCACTCTGGAAACTGAGGCAGGAAGACTGCAAATTCCAGCCTTCCCTGGGCATTTTAGAGACTGGGAAGATCCTGTCTCTGCAAGTAAAATAAAAAAAGAGGCTGGGTATGGAGATCAGTGTGAAGGTCTTGGGTTCTGTAGGGAGAGACCCATAGGCAGGAGAGATGAGAGACCCCACCAAGGAGTTCAGGTAGCTGGCAGAACAGGCTTAAGCCCCCATGAAAAGCTGACAGTCTGCAGTTCCACCTCCTCTTCACACTGCACCCTGCCAAGCTTGGTTTGCTAAGATCAAAAGGAAAAAACCTTGACCCTAAGATCTAAAAGGCCCCTGAAAAGACCCTTCCCTGTTGTCCCTAGTAATGAATTAAGTTAATCATTAACCAATCAAGTAGGGGCACCTCAGCCCAGAGGCAGGATAGCCCCCAACTACTATAAAACCAGCATCTTGAGCCCACCTGCAATGGTGGCTCCATTTCAGGCAGCCCCGTCTGTCTCTCTGAGAGAAGGCAGCTGTACTCTTGCATGCTTGCTGAATAAAAGTACAACTTTGCTTCCACGCTTTTGATCTCTGTCTGATTCTTCCACAACCTTCTGTGTCATCAGAGAGTCAGGACTGGGGCTGTGGGGACTCTTCCCCTGTCTCTGCCCATGATAGTTCCATCCGCAATACCACAAAAATGATATTTGTTTTATTAATATGACCAGAAAATATAGATGTGAAGTCCACTGAAATAAAATTTCTAGTCATTATTACATGAACCCTAGTTGGATTTATCTCACCTTGGTGCTCTGAATTTCTTATATTATTAGGGAGTAATTTATTTCTCATCATTACAAATCCATAAAAGACAAAAAGAGAAACACTCCTTTAAGGAAAAGGGAGGAAACAGTTTGAGCAAGGTGCAATGTTAGGTACAATACATTCCCCTTCCCGCCAGCTGCTTCTCCTCTCTGACCACAAGCGTTCTGATGATGTGCTCTTCCCTGGTTTCCCTTGGGGTCCTGCTGGAGGAGGGAGGTTACCTTTCTGCACGTGTGAGGCTTTTCCTTGTCAGTGTCGGCTCATGCTGCCCTGTCCCTACAAACTGTGCACACACGCATGGGTGGTCATCTGGGGTTACAGGACTATCTGCACCTGGGTCGGCACATGCAGCGCCAGCATGGGCTCGTGGTTCTGTTAGCACAGGTCTCCCAGTGCACATGGGCCCTGCGGTTCCGGTCAAGTGCTCCATCTGCTCAGCCTGACCAGCCCAAAGCCTCCTTGTGCAGGAGACAAGCTTAACAGCTCGTGCAAGGCTGTTGGTGATTGAAAAGAATAACTCTTACTTGTAATAGGGTGATCTTCAAAATATTATAAATCCATTTACTGAGACAATATATTCACGTCTCCTTGTTAATCACACACAAAGGAACTGCCGCAGGAATGACCAGAGTCATACTGCTCAGCCTTTCTGTGCACCGTGCGTGCAGTGCTGGGGATGAAGCCGGACACACACTTTCCACCATGCTGCCCAAGGCAGCATTGTCTAAAAACAACTTCTACATGATTTATATTATTTATCTGTTAATTATTATTACAAATAAACTTTCATTTGACGTTTTTATCACTGTGTAAAAGGATACTAGATACATGTTATATACAGAGATAAATTCTGCTAAGTTTTTATCAATTAAAGAAAAATTATTAAAAATCTGTTTTATTAAACTATCTTTTTAAATATCTAGAAGTATTATTTCAAGAGAAAAGTTTTGCCAGTGGAAATGTACAGCGGAGGAGTACTGTTTTGTACACTCTCTTTAAACCTGCATTATTTAATATATTTTCTGATGAGTTGCATTCTGTCTCGCCTCTTTTTCACAGGCAAGTTAACTAGGAGTCCATTTATTCTTCCATTTCAGGCAAATTCTTCAGAGTATAAAAATGAAAACAATACTGAGAATTGACCAAACTTGATTGTATGACTTAGTTGAATTCAAATAGCTAGAAACATGCAAGTATTATACCATTAGTATTCTACAATGTAATACCATTTTTTAACCTCTGAAAGAATTTCAGGAGTTGTCCAATGTGAGACAGACTTTGTGCAATTATATTAGTAAACAATTGTATGTTGAAATTATAGATTGAAGAATTAGCTATATATGAATAAAAGATATGTAGATTTTTGACCATGTGAATCTCATTCTCCTTTGTTCCCATCGAAAAGTGTAAATTTTTGTCTTGAAATACAGGAGAGATAGGAGCAGTTGCTTCTTTATTTTTTAGGATGGAAGAGCAGTTCCGAACACGCCAGCAAATTGATCCTGACCCTGCAGAAATAGTGCACCCTGTATTCAGACAACCAGAATTGCTGCCCAAAGTTATGCTTCTCACATGGGCCCTATCTGAACAGAGAGACTTAAAGTAAAGCAATTCATAGGCAGCCATAGGTCAGTATCTTTTCCTGTTTACCCTTCTGTATCTTTAAGATGATCCAGTTTTCTGAACTTCAGAAAAATATTAAAGGTAAGACAAGTTCGGCAATAGGATTCCCTCCTGTGCCATCCGGGGTAAATGTGTCATTAAGAGCAGCCGTCATTCTCTTTGGTCTTTGTAGATCTGTGGCGTTCTTGCTTTGCACCTTAGGACCTATCTACCTATGAAAAGCCCGCCACAAAGAAAACCCCAATACAGTATGCAGATCAGCAAGAAAACAAACCTCACTTAAGCAATGCATGGACAACACGGAAGTCAGCGTTGAGTGGATGATGAATGGACACAGAAAATGTGGCACATACACAACAAAATATTATTCAGCCACAAAAAAGGATGACACTTGGCATTTGTGACATAAGGGATGGAATTGGATGTGGTTAAGTGAAATAAACCAGGGAGAAAAACACAAATACCAAGCGACTTCAGCCCTATGTGGACTCTAAGAAAGGTATCCCATAGAGCTGAGTACAGCAGTGCTCCTGAGGCTGGAGGCTGGGAGAGGGCGCGTGTAGCGAGGAGAGAGAGGGCTGAGGGGCGGGGCAGGAGGGTACAGGGAGGGTTCGGTGTCTCCCCCAGAGTCCAAGCTGGACTGTGGTCCCAGCCTGCACAACGCCCACGCGCGTCACAGAACCACAGGGTGCCTTCATGCGTACGTGCAGTATCTATGTTTCTATGCATCGGGCAAAGTAAATTTAACTAAAAACAACTTAGATTACATCGGCAAATGATCACAGACCCCAATGAAAAGTTACTGCGTATTACGGTATGAGTTATTCTCTCTGAAATATTTATGTAAAAATACATTTAAAAACATAAATTTATGTATCTGTATAATTAAATTCTGATATAACTTTGCACTAAGTTGTATATATGTGTTTATATATGATGTATTTGTATGAATAAGTAGCTGCTACAATTCTGTTGTTTACAAAAATTGATATTTGTGACCTTTCTAAAATACAGAAAAGAATGAAAGAATTCTCACTGGTAAATTGAAATATTATGGAGATAAAAAGTTGTGTATATATAAAAGTTTCTTGTAGATATATAAAAAGTAATAAGAAATCAATTGAGTGCTCAAAAAGTTAGAGAAATGTGAATTTTAAGAAATTTTGAAAAAAAGAGGATTATAGATTAAACAATCAAAAAGCAAACCTTACAAAACAGAAACAATTATGTGGTTTTCAATACATTGAAAACAGAATATTTAATAATTTTTAAAGCAAAATTATGAGCTTTAACGAAAGAATAGCAACAGAAAATACTTAATATTGATAATTCAGGAAATATCACTGTGGAGCACATTATTAAAGTGACTAACTGACAACCAGGTGATGAGAGGGGTACTGGGGAAGACATGACTATTCTATCATAAACTCTTTCATATTATTTTGTACTTGTAAAATACATTAATTTACAAAGCCAGCACACTCTGTGGACAAAAACACATTTAGACGTAGAAGACAATAGTGTAAGTCATACATGATATGACAGTGTCACTTTGTAGGCTCAGGTAAAATTTGTCCATGTTGAATGATAACTGTATCACTAACTTTTTTATCAGCTTAATTTTTCAGGTCCCCCTTAGGAACTTGTCTGTTGAAAAAGATTTTAAAGGTTTTAAGCACATGGCTCTCCAGCGTGGGTCCTGACTGCTCATGTGAAAACATTCCACAACACTGGCAGTGGACACATATGCTCTGCTGTCACCAAACAGCTCGCCTGGTTCTGGTTGGGCTCCCGGGAGGGGTGCAGTGTGCTATCTAGGGTCGCTTCCAGAGCAGCCGGGGAGCTGTGTGACTCCCCCACCACAGTGCTAGTGCATGCGTCACAAGTGGGCCCACTGCTGTGTCCTCTAGTGTCCAGCTAAAATCTAAGAGAAACAGTAAGAACTGCAAACAGCATGATCTATATTGAAACCCTAAAGACCATGTTACACCAACCTCATGTGTTTTTCTTCTGAAAGGTACGGAATAATCTCCTAGGAATATTTAGAAGTAGCTTACATTACCCTCTTTAGGAAACTTCGCAGGATATCACTGGAAGCACAAAGGGACAAAAGCTTAAATGTTTATCACTCTATAATGCTGTGAGTTAAACCACATTTGAATAGAGACCCACAGGGAGAAAAATAAGTGGGAAGCACTTCGATTGCCCCTCTGAAACACACAATGATGCTGAATTCAAGAGGTTGTTCACTGGGTTCCTGGGGGAATGGGTTGTCCATATTGTGTAAAAGGGCTGGTGTTTCAAGGAGTATTTTTGTGGACCAAATTTGAAAAACTAGTATTTGGATTAGAAATAGGGGGGGAAAAAAGCACCCAAAAGGGAAACGCAAAGAATTATGGGGGGAGTGAAAGGCACGAAGCCTGCACTGGCCCCCATTCATAATCTCAGTTTCTCACTACCTACGAACTCTGCACCCTGTGGACAATCCATTCCCACACACGAATTCTGTTCCAACAGCATATGGATGCTACTTATTTACAAATGAAAAATAATTTTCCAAAGTGGAATTTCCAAAACTACAATACAAACATTTTAGAGATTCACATCAGATTTCCTGCACAACAGGAAGTCAGTTAGGTTATCTAGCTGGGTATCATTTAAATCAGCCTGAAAAGCAGGAAAAGAACCTTCAAGTTCCATAGTACCAGACCTATGCATTTTTCTTTCTTTTTAGTTCTCCTAATATCCATTACAGAATATGTAACACCAGGATATTTTTGGAGAAGGTAGTTAGATCTATAAATGTAGCAGATGACTGAACTGAAAAGCACTGAAGACCAACCGCCCAGTAGACAAGGAAGACACAGTAGTTGAAACCAGAAGAATGAAAAAGTTAGTAATGTTCGGAAAGCTTGTCTCCCTGAGTTTGTGATTTTAAACATATTTTCCAAACTCATTTCAGTTTGAGTTCTGAATCTGTAAGTCCCCAATAGGATTCACCTGGTTTCATGTTCACAGTCTAAGTGACAAGATGAAACCGTGTGCATAGCTAAGATTAATGTAGCAAGAATCTAGCAGACCACAAAACAAAAAGTCAGAAAAAGAGATGGAATCCTCAGCAACACATCCCAAAAGCTGCATCACAATGTAATCCAACATCGCACCGAAATTGAATTTTTATTTAGAGCAGCCAAACAGCATCTTTAAGAGGTCTGAAAAAAGATTACATATTCTCTCAGTTTTAATCTACACTTTTCTGATCACAAGTTATATTTGGAATTGCACTGATATTCTATTCAAGTTAACCATGAAGGGGAAGAGTATGGTATTTATGCTTAATCCTTACTTGTGGGAAGAAAGTGATTCCAAAAGACACACTTCAACCACTTATACTCAAGAGATTTGTCTTCTAAAATCAAATAAACTAGCTTTTTTCTACACTAGAAACCCAAGGCAGTATATCCACACAGGACCTTTAGACCATGTGATCCTCAGCTAATGGACCCTTGAGGTTACACTGAAACAATTCAAAGATGAATTATGTATGAAACATGTCACAAACACTGAAAGAAGAACACTGTTTTGAGGGAATTGGAAAGTTAGAAATATCAAGGTAGGGAAAGAATTAGAAGTATACATCTTTAGAGTGTGCAAAAGAGAAGGAAGACCCAAGGCTAGAAGCAATGGGATTTTGTTACCTTCACTGAATCACGTGTAAGGCATTGTGCTGAGGGTGTGGGAACACAGACATCATTAAATTAAGCCCTGACTACAAGACAGAAGAGGCACGGGTGGGTTTCTTATGTTCCAGGGCGGGCTGTGGCGCCTGTCTCATTGGTCAAACGCTGCTCTCCATAGTGTGGAGGGGACTGTGGAGGGACCGGTATTCGCCTTCTGTTCATACCACCTGCGCCTTCCTCTGTGGGTGGACCAGATGAACAGCTGGTTGTCAGAGCTGACATCCATCTCATCAGTTAAAGGTATGCAAGTCCCAAATATTTAAATTTATTTTGCAGTAAGAAATGAAAATAACCAGCAGTAAAAATTAATTTGTGCACCCTAGATTTTATTTCGTATATGTAAGATATAATAAATGATAAATGTCTTTTTTTGCTATAAATGATTACCTTTATATTTTATATTTAAAATTATAAGCAGGAATTAGTTTCAGCAATTCACTTTTTATATTATTTTTATGATTTTAAAATAATGCATAGCTGAAATTTAATTTCAAGATCCAAAGCGATAAAAATGTCAGAAATTTTAAAAACAACAGTATTTGACAGTTATTTAATACTGAAAAATACAAACCTCTTTCTCACTCTTGTTGTTTACTTTTCCACAAGAGTACAGAAATTTCCATTAACTTTTGTTTTATTTAATGTTGGGTAGCAAATTTCCTACCCTTAAATTTATTTTCATTTTAAAATATGCATTTCTAAGATGAGTCCACATACACTATGACTGTAGATTTTCATGAACTGTGATTTGGAGAATCTGAGGTAAAGATTACAATGTAACCCGTTAGGGATTTCTTGTGATTCTTAGTAGCTGGTTACTGCTGTGTACCATGGATAAGGCTCCTCTGGCTGAAGGCAGTACGTGAAGGCTCTCTTCATTTCTAACTTCTCTTCAGTCTTTATTTTTATAGAGAATTACATAAAGTTTGTATGCATCTTTCTCTGTATTACATATTTGTGTCTATTAATACATAGAAATGTATTCATATTTTGCTTTGATCTATATAGTCATCTGACACCTTACTTAGAATTGCCAGTGTATGGATAGGGAGAAATAAATGCACTGTACAAAGCTCTATACTGTTTTTACTTTTGTGTTTTTAGAAGGACGTCTAAGTATTCCAAGCTCTTAAAGATAGAAATTCAGCCAACTACAGTCCACATTCTGTTGCTGACATGGCACAGAACTACGAGATTGAATGCTTGTGTTTTCCGTTTTGGATTGCAAGTGGCTAAATTAACCCATTAAGGGCCATCAAAATTATTTCTGAAAAACTCATTCTTTAAATTCTTCTTGTGTCCCACAGCACTGAATTATTAGCTGACACCCTTGAATGCTATGTGATACAGGAAGGTTCTTTTTTTTAATTTTTAAATCACATTTGTGAGATGATAGTTTTGTGATACGGAGAATTAACTTCATACATTATCTTCTTAGTACTGTACTAGGAACTAAAGTTTGAAGTTCTGTGATACAGTTGTGTCAGTTAACTACAAACTTTTATAGTGGTTGCAAAGAAGCATTCTGATATAAAATAATTATGCTCTGATTTAAATAATAATTTTAACAGATTTCTATGTGTTCTATATGTTTTCCAAAGATATAAATCTGGTATACAATTAAATCATTTGGTTTAGTAGAAGCAAAATCTATGTTTTTATTCATGTATTTATGACATATATATATACACATAAACACCTTATTAAAATGGATTTAGTATTATGAAATAGAATTATAAAAGAAAATGAAATTACATGTACTATTTAGAATGTTTTTGTACTTGTAGTAAAACTATAAATATCAAAAATGTTGATAATTCTATTTAGTAATTTAGCTTATGCCTGAAATACTTTTAAATTAAGTGATTTTATTCATTTAAAACAATCATGGACATATTGAATTAAATGCTTTTCTTTACTTAAATAAAAGAACACAAAATATCCTTGTTCCACAGACTATCGGGGGGAATCTGGCAGGTGTTTTTGTGCTCTCAGTGTTGCCTAGTTTTCATTCCAGGGCAGACTTTCGGGGTAAAGTGCTTTCGTGTGTCGGTCTGTGCACCAGCTCCCTCCGCCTGGCCGGAGATGACAGTGTGGGGTCGGCAGAAATATTGTTTGGAGCTCAGACGCTGTAGCCAGGTGTCTCAGGAGAGGGTGGGTCAGTGAGGTCTTCCTTAGAATTCACCTCACCGTGAGTGTCCAATGTGTGTCTGAGCTTGTGTGGGAACAAAGTAATGGATGACTTCAGAGTTACATGTGTTGATGTATGCATATTTTTTTTTCGGTGATACATATAACTATGACAACATGAACATAATTGTAATGGGTTATTATCTCATAAAATTACCCACATAATCCCTAGCATTAATCAGTATCCCTCACCTGTAATCAATATGCCTGTTATCAGATATTTTTTGATTTCCTAAATTTGGTGCCCAAATTTTACAGATGAAAATCATTATGACAAAAGTGAGGTATAAATAAATATGAAAATTGATATTTTCCAAGCTAAATTGAAATTTTCCATTCACTGAGACCTCCTGAAAAATGAAATGGTCAGTATTTGTGATGCATGTACAAAGTGCTTCCATGTCATTGTCCTTCATTTTATTACAGTAATGACCGTCTATGAAAATGGATGCCCTCTTAAATTAAGGAACCTAATTAAGGGGTCACCATTGCCAAAGTTCATGATACTTTGTCCCTTTTAAACGTTAAACTACTATTTAGAAATCTACAATATGTTACTTTGTTTTCCTTCTTAGATATAAAAATCTTCACGGCCTAACAGTCAGTATCACAGATTCAATATTTTCTTTCTAACACCAGTTTCATGTGTGTATAGATTCATTGTATTTCCAAAATGTAATTCTACTTAACAAAATTGCTGCATGAAATCATGAAGGAATTCTTAAGATACAGTACTTACCTGAAATCCGAGGAGCTTTTCACTGGGCTTAATGTGCCTCTGAAATTCACATTCCACAGGTTGTATCACTTTGATTCCATCTTCATAAAAAACATAGAACATGTTCCCAATTCCCAGACCTTAGGAAGAGAAACATATTCAAAAGTTCAAGATAAAATTGTCAGAAAGCTTTACAACAAAAACCCGCAGTGCCTTTTATCTCTAGCAGATCAATTTGGGAGCTGTATGATGTTACCAATGCCATTCCTGCTGGATGGCCTTGCATTCTCAGGCCACTTTGCAGGCTATGCAAACATTCTGTTTTATTTTTCCTAATCTCAAGTCAGTAGGTCCTTTAGCAAGTGTTTCACATGTTTTTAAATAACTCTAAATAGAACTATAACTCTCTTTAACATATAAATTATTTTGATTCTTTCCCTGCTTAATGTAGGTGTTAAGGAATAAAAGTAATTGCCAAGAATTAACTTTATTCTAATATTTTTAGAGTTCACTGGGTAAAATGAAATTTTAGTTTTTGTGGGACTTTACATAAAGGCTTCAAGAGACCACCAGATTTTGGAGAATATGTATTTCCCTGATCTATATTTTGATAAAATCATCCTACAAAGAAAACTAATATTAGTTTTTATATGAGAATTTTTGAGCTTCTATTTCTACAGGTAAAAATGAATGGATTTAAGATCTTAGAAAAATATCAGCGTAATAATTTAAATCATACTCTCAGTTCTTTCCCCAGTGCAGATTTGGGTGTGTGGCATTTCAGAAATCGTCCTCCCTTGCTCTGCCCATCTTCACGCGTGAGTGAAGGAGCTGCACAACTAACTAACACCTGGGACTCACAGGGGCTGGGGTGGGAGTTGGGGGGTCTCCACATTTCATGCACCCCTGTCGCCTGGCTGCCACTCCGCTCTCTTTGCACATGCTCAGCTCAAAGACTAAGCCTTCCTTCTCTGACGCTCACTTGCATAGCTTCTTTTTCCAGCTGTGCTGATTTGATCAATCGAATTATTCAGCCTAAACATATCTTCCATTATTCAGTAGTAACACATGATCTTTGAAAGATGATGGGTAATACTGCAATCTTGATAATAAGAAAGCCAAATGATTGTTCCTTAAAATGTTTAAATGCCAAAACCATCCATGAGGAGAAAGATAACTTAATTAAATCCAAAAATAAAGCTTCCCCAGCAAAATATTTTTCTGACTGAAACTACCTGCAAGGCCTACTAAGTCCAGCCTCAGGTTGCCCACTGATGGAGGATCATAATCAAGTGTCCATACAAATATTTGGTTATTGAACTTGTCATATTTAATTTTATAAATATGTTCTTGGTGAATATCAAAATCATGCATTTTGACCTAACCATATCTATTCTTGACTTAGAAGGAAATATACTCAAATATAATTTCACTGGTATTTCTACATAGTGTAAATAGTTTTTCTGATAGCACATGAAATTATTTCAATCTTACATATGTACATTATAAAAGGCTCTGGATTGTTTAATATAGCTTATCATGATTTTTTATAAACAATTTACAATGTTAATATATTAATAAGCACTATTAGTTAATTATGCACTATATTTCCAGAGTATTACATTAAGGTGGAATATTCCTGAGCAGTAGCAGAAGTGGCAAAACAAAATTCAAATCTTTCTTAAAATAAAATTTAGTAATTGTAAGCTGTTATTTTTAATTATAATTGTGTATAAAGGAATATTCAGTTGATATTATTCATTCAATAACTATCAATTTCAACATTACTGTTGAAACTTATAGACATGAGTAAGTCAGAGTGTCTGATTTCCACTTGGGTCTGCTTCACACTGTATTTGATGTTTACTACAAAACTCTTCCCATTTTCAAATGAACACACCTATCCTTCCTTAACACCTCTGAAGTTCTGGTCTACAGTCCTAAATTTGAATGTGTTTGAAACTGACAACCACTCCAGATTCCACATTTTCTGCAAAATTTTTGAAACGCTTCCTCCTCACTCCTCTGGATACTTTTATTATGTTATTTCACTATACTTTAAACACAACAGTCAGTGAAATCCCACTATGATTAGTTGCACTGATGAAATTTCTGAGCTATATTTTCCTTTAAAAACCAATTAATTCATCCAAATTACTCCTCCAAATCTGAGTCTATTTTCTTGATTTTAAAATATGAATTACACACCAAGATTTTCATAAAGCATAAACTGAACTGCTTTGCATGTTATAGATGATATACAGATACAATTATCCAAAGTTTAGTTTATTTTGTCTTTTCATTTGATTGCTTTCAGTTTGACTGTAGTGCTTGTATTTATGAAAATGTAATGACAACAAAATACTGTATATAACTATATTAATTATAACTCTTTAAAATA